ATTTTTGGGGGTTGGGGGTGGGGGTGGGGGTGGGGGATGGGTAATTGACATCACCTTGTGGAATGTGTGTGTTTTTTGCCTTATTCAAACATCTCAAGAAACAACAAAAAATTGGCTTATTATATCAATAGAATAACACCTGCTATATACTTCAGGTTGACAAGGACATGCTAGAGCTCTTTGTTTATTCTTTTAAGCATCTTAAGTTAATTGGATTCTCTTAGCATTCAATATGGTCCCTTAACCTAAGCCATTTTTAAAACTGATGGTGCAGTCTATTTCTTAGATCATATCTTAAACCTTTTCTTTCCTATTTAGGTTTTTTCATTGTTATAATTCTGCTTTGGATTCAAAAGGATCCAAAGTAGGTTGTTAACCTCCTCCTTTGAAAAGAGGTTACCTTTCCGGAGCCTCTCAGTGAGTTTATAACCAATAAGGTCAAGATTTGCTTTCAAGGTTATGAGCTGTATTAGGAGATGACAGTACAGCAACAATAAAATGGAAGTGATTTTCACAACCAGCCTCTCTCACCATCTGATGTGTGGAATTTTTTTCCAGCTTTCACAGCTGAGGCATTGCTAATTGTTGAATTTACATTGAGATTGTAAGCTCTGGCAAGCCTGAAATTCATTTTGGCTCATTTCCTCAGCCTCATTCCACAAATAGTATCTCCAGCCCCAAATGCTGAGGCCAAAGGAGACAGATCTTGAGCTATGCAAAAGAACTCTGGCCTTTTTCTTATTGTAGAAAGAGTCTGAAAGAAGTAAGAATTCTAAAAATTAGAAAACGTTCCCTCTGTCACACCTTTTATGTGTCATCATAGACCAAATTACTTCATATTCTGTGTAGAAGGAGCTGAGTTTTTTCATACCAGGGCAATTTTTATAGAGTTCGTTCTTTTTGGGAAAGTTTGTCTCCCCCCCCCCCCCCCCCCCCAGTTTGTTTCAGCTCTAGCAATAACTCAGAGATGGTGGCTATGTGGGAGGTCGATCTATGTTTAAATCAACACAGATTCCACAATATATTCAGGTCTTTCTTCAGAATTCATCAAGAGGTGATAGCAAAAACAATTTCAAGGATAGATAAACATTTTTTTGAGGGTGGGGATTTTTTGATGCTGGAAATACTACTCTGAATGTGCTTTTCTGAGTTCAAAAGAGCTAGCAGGGATAAATTTTAATGGCATAATTTTTTTTCCTTCCTAAGGTTTTAGTTGATTTTATTTTATTTTATTATTTTTTTTTGAGAGGTTTTCGCTATAGGGCGCGTGTGCTCGCCAGACAGACAGAGAGAGACATAGAGACAGAAAGCGAGAAATCACCCCCCAGGGGGGATGGTCACGCCGCAATCCCTTCTCCTCCATTCTCCTCTCGGGATCTTGGGCACGCACGCACACGCGCCCGGCGTGAGATTTAAGCCACCGGGTCCGAGACGCGAACCGCGGTCGGCTACGTGGGAGTCCAGCGACATAGCCATTACGCTAACTGCTGGTTCCCTTTAGTTGATTTTATTAAAAATGGGGTCAGGAATATCACAGGGGAGAATCACATTGAAAACTCATGTCACTTCTTCTCTTCTTATTGAACACATGCAATCACTTTCCAAGGAGCAAAATTACTCCATTTAAAAATCAGCTTCCAAGAGCATTGGTCTGAATTTGGAGATTTGGTAAATATATATATGTGCGTGTGCGTGTGTGTGTGTGTGTGTGTGTGTGTGTACAGACCCATAGAATATATATATCATACAGGGTCTTGCCATGTCATGATCCTCCTGCCTTAGCCTCCTGGCTGAGCCTGCAGATATGCACTTCCATGCCTCTTTTTGTTTTCTCCTACAGAACATTGTTATGTTGTTCACGTCAGCCTTGAGCTTTATGATCCTCCTGCCTCAGCCTCTTGGAATCAATGAGATTACAGGCACATGCCACTATACCCTGTTTTTTAAATTGGACTGGGAATTCAAAGCCTCACCTCCCATGTGCTCCCAGCCTGCAGAGCCCAGCATTTTACCAGCATATGCCTCTGTGGCTGGACCTGGTGTTAGAAAATTTGAGCATTGGTCCTCTGTCTATTTTTCCTAGGTAATAAGGCTTTTGTATTTTAGCCACTTAATGAATAAAGTACCTTTAGGTAATTGGTAAGTAATCCATCAGCTAATAACCAAGATAAGAATAAAGGAATAAGACAAACCATCTTTTTCTCCAAATGAGAAATTCAATGAAAGATGGCTGTTCAATGGATTCTGGGAGGAGAGATTTGAGGCCAATAAATCCCCTGTTTTTAAATTTGGAATTGATTGGGGATAATAATATGGATATTTTCAAATAACACTATGGATATAATTTTTTATGGATATAATTTTTAATAAGTAAGACATTTGAGCTTTTATAAATTGTAAGCAGGAGGAAAAAGTTAGACTAAGGATATTTATTAATGAAGAAGGCAGAGAATGACACTAAAAGCTTGTGAGCTGTTTCTTCTGGATGCCGAATTTCTGGAAAAGCTTTAGAACAGGTAACAGTCTTGTGGCCATCTTTGGAAAATAGTCTACCACAGGGTGGCCAGATAAAACTTGGAAGCAACAAAGTTGTGCTTCCAGCTGAATGGATAAATAAATTGTGGTACATCAGACAATGAGTATTCTTCAATGCTGAAAGGAAGGAGTTATTAACCCAAGGAAAGACTTGGAAGAATTATAAATGCATGCTGTTAAGTGAAAGAAGTGAAGCTGAAAGGCTGAATACTACATGATTCCAACCATATGACCAATGGGAAGACAAGTGGAGACAGTAAAAAGATCAGTGGTTGTCAGAGGTTGGAGATGGGTGCATGAATAGGCAAATACAAAAGATTTTAGGGAAGTGAAACTACTCTGCATGACAATATAATGATGAACACATTTGATCATATGTTGGCCCAGACCCATAGAAGGTATAACACTGAGTGAACCCGAACATACACTATGGGCTTTGAGCAACCATGATGTGTTAATGTAAGTTCATTAATTGTAAGTTATTACACTCTGGTGGGGGTTGTGGTAATGTGAAAGGCTATGCAAGTATGGGGACAGGGGTGTATAGAAAATCTCTATGACTTCTCAATTTTTCTAGGAACCTAAAGATGCTCTTAAAAGAAAAATATCTTGGAGTTGGGCTCTGGCATAGCAGTAAAGTGCAGTGGTCTGTGAGGCTGACACACATGGGAAATTTGTGACCTTCCTGAGTAGACTGGGTACACTCATGTCATGATCTGGGGCTGGCTGAAGCTGGGGATGGATCATGGCTTTGAGGCCCTATGGGAGGTGTTGCCGCTCTGTCTTTCTCTCTCTTGTACATGAAATAAATTAAAATAAAATGAAATAGAATAATACAAAGCAAAACAAAAATCTTAGAGAAAAAGAAGCTAAGAAAGCAATGCCCAGTGTATGTCACACCCTCCCCATTTAGCCAGGCCAACTGCGCATCATTCCTTCTGCCCTTATCTTTGTCAATCCTAACCCACTTCGCTTAATTTTAATTTTCTTGTTATGAATTTGTAGAACCAAATCTGGAATTTGCTACTCCTGGCTTCACCTGGATTTGTGCCATTCCTAAATTGGGCATCAACTCCCAGGATGGTTTCTGGCTTAGCCACATTTTTGGTGAGTGTTTTCTGTGGGCTCTTGCTATCTTATCTCTTGCTCTCAAAAGATCCCAGCCTTCAGCCACACTGTTAAGTCAGTACCTGTTGCCTCAGTGAGTGACATGGAGATTCAGGTGAAGTAATAGGACAATACTGGCCTCGTCATGATGGAGAAAATATTTTAGCATATGTGTTTTGCACCCACTTGATCTTCAAGAGTTGGTGAGGAGAAAACTGATTTTAAACAGAGAGAGAGAGAAAGAGAGAGGAGTTGAGTTTGTACATTAAAAAGTTAGGCCATGGGAACCAGCAGTTAGTGTAATGGCTATGTCGCTGGACTCCCACATAGTCGACCGCGGTTCGTGTCCCGGACCCGGTGACTTAAAACTCACGCTGGGCGCGTGTGTGTGCGTGCCCAAGATCCCGAGAGGAGAATGGAGGAGAAGGGATTGCGGCGTGACCATCCCCCCGGGGGGTGATTTCTCGCTTTCTGTCTCTATGTCTCTCTCTGTCTGTCTGGCGAGCACATGCGCCCTACAGTGAAAATCTCTCCAAAAAAAAAAAAAAAAGTTAGGCCATGAGAACCTTAAACATCATCTAGTCCAGCCTAATTTTAGAAGAGAGAGTTGAGATCTACTGATTTCCTCACTAACACTAGTACTAAACACTTGTATTGCGTTTTCTAACTTCTATGGAGGCACACACAGGGAATTTTCACACATAGTCACTAGCAACACACTTTTGTTTTATTGTTTTCAGAAGAAACTGTCAGTAAGTATTCAAATATTTAAAAATATTTTAAATTTAATTTACTTATTTCTTCTATAAGCAAGAGAGAGAGCACCCTCAACAGTCTTAATTTTTAAACATTTAGATCGCTACATGAATATAAATTATTACTAAAGCTATAGTAGTAGTTACTACTAAACATTTTGAGACAGAAGTATTAGAAGCTTGAGAGACTGGGATGATCCAAAATATGCCCTGTTTCAGTAATTTCTCTACGGTCTCAGTAATCCATGTTTCAAAAGGGTGTTTCTTCACTCGGGGGCTCATTTAAAAGCAAGATGTGACGGAAGGTGAGAAATTTCTTAGGTATGGCTAGGCTTGTCAGAAAATCCTTACAGAAGGAAAAATGGAAGCTCTTTGTGCTCCATGTTCATCCTAAAGACTCTTTTAGCCAAGATGGGAATCCTGCTCCCTCCTTGTCACTCAGAAATTCCAAATACAGCTGGATTGGCAGGAAATTTCGAAGAAGAATTTGAGCCATGGGAAAGGTGATTATTATTTTGGCAAAGGGAACCATGCTAGGTTCTAGATGCTTAGTTTTATTTGTACTGAATGAAAGTAATTTTTTCTAGCTTATGCTTTTCAATTCAATGTTTATTTAGTCAAACACTTGGTGAACTGGGCACTGCCCTGGCAGAGCATTATGGGGTAGACTGAATACACAGAAAGCAATGAGCCTTTTCTTTGCAGTAGATATAACATAATTTGTGTTTGTTAGACAGGCTGAGAGCAGCTAGGCAATCATGCATCAAGTGAGTTTGCAAGGTAGAAAAAAAAACCCTGCAAGGTTCAGTTGGGAAAAAATATTCTCTACTTTTGTTTTTTGGTCTTAGAAGATATGCTCTTAGAGTCTGTGTAGAGGAATCAGTCATTTTCTATTAAAAAAACTTGGACTCCATATCTAAGGTTTCAGAGCAGATTTTCATTTAGTAACCTCCTTTTCTTCCCCTCCCCTCTTTCCAAGTCATGTTATGTTGTCTTTGCACAAGTTTTCCTGAGCTCTGCCTCCATCAAGGGAATGGTAATGAGAATCCTGGCAAAAAGGATGATCAACTTGGAGGCTGAATATGAAAAGCATAAATCCTTAAGTAACTTTTGCATGACACTTCAATTTGTAATTCAGTTTTTTTTTTTTTTTAACAAACCTATAAGGATTAAAGCACTTAGTTTGATAGCAATGAGCAGTGCAAAAATTATAGTGAATCAGAACAAGTTATCATCAGTGGAGTGCTTTGATCAACCCAAGATGACAGCAATTTGTAACTATAAATGGTTCCTTTTAATCAGATTAATTGTGTTGCTGTTTTTTGGGGAAAGCTCTACCATCTGAAATTCAGGAAAGGTAAACATTATCGAAGGAGCAATTATCCCACAGAGTTCGTCAGGGCATTTCGTTTCTATCACTTTACAAAAGCAATCATTTCATTAGGAATTTTATCACTAATCTGATTTTCTAAATGTGAATCCTTTAGAAAAAGATGAGTTGAAAGTTCTTTCATGGAAGACAAAGACTCAAAATGGCTTTAAAAAAACTGAGTTCCTGGGCTGGCTCTGTACCCCTAGTAGTTAAGGAGCTGAATCCCATATGGCTGACAGTGGTTTGAATTCCTGCATCCTGGAGGTTTGGAAAACATATTGGACATGTGCATGCACCTCAAATCCCAACAGGATAGAGAAATGGAGGAGAAAGTATTGCAACATGATCATACCCCAAAGGGGTTGCTTTCTGGCTCTTTCCTTTTCTGTGTAGAAAACACTGGTGCCCTGTGGCAATTAAAAAACAAAAAATGTTCCTATATTGTAACTCACTGAGGCTAGGAGAGGGCAGAATGTGTAGATAAATTATACTGGGGAGAGAGCAGCAATGACTGAGGTTTAGAGGAGACCGAAGCTCTGCAGGGGGTACTTCCCTTGTTGTATCTAGTAGCAATGGAAACAAGTACCTCTCTTGCTCTGGAAATACAAAGGGACTTCAGAAAGTGGAAAGATAGAATTAAAATGAAAGTAAAGTACTAGCTTATTTTGGTGCAAAGATATTTTAAATTCATGCAAAGCATTTTCATAATATGCACCCTCTCATCCTTCTCCCCCACTATCAGTCATCATCTTCCCCTTTTTCTTCCTCCTATGCTTCTTTTTCATGTAGTCAAGAATAGTCAGGTAGTTGATATTTGTGGCTTTTGAAGACATGCTGTGCTCTCTAGCTCAGGCACCAAATGCCTGGATCTGTCACAGATATTCCATGAGTTTGAAGGGCAGTGGGTGCTGACTCATTGCAATAGCTTAGGAAAAGATGGTGTCAGGTCTAGGTCAACTGGCTTGCTGAATAGAGGTACTCCAGAGGGATTAGCTTTTAAGAAGTGTGGTGGGAAAGCATTGGTGTTTTTCATTCTTTTGGATTCCTGTCAACAGTGAGGTCTGTTCAAGTTTTGGAAGTTATGCACAGAAGGGATCTTAGGGTTGAGCTAGTACAGCTAATTCTCTGCATCAATAAAGGGATGCTTTAGTGAAGACTTGCTTGTACCTCGCCTAATGTGTGGCCTTAACACATTTTCTGGTGAGCAGGGTGGAAAGGGTCCAGACCGTGTGACTTGTGTCTTAAGTACCTCTGATGCACACTTGGATATAACTTTCTCACAGTAGACTGGGTGGCCTGTGCTAAAAATAAGGGGACATGGATGAGTTTGAGATTAGATAACCAGTTTTCTGTAAGACATGCTAAGACTATTCATCTGTTTGTCTTTGTCCTCATTGCTTTACTCTTACAACAAGATACATATATGTCTATTTTATAATATTGAAAAAATATAAACAAAAATAGGCTAGTAAGAACAAACTGAAAACTTTCCACCTGAAGTTAACTATGATTAACCTACTAGGAGCCATCTTTCTGATTACTTTTCTGTGTGTATACATTTACACATATACACAGACAGCAAACACAGATTTACTAAAATTCCACAATTTTATTTTAACCATTGTGATTTAAAAAAAAATTATATATTTTGCGAGAGAGAGAGAGAGAGAGAGAGAGACAGGCATTCCCATCAGGGTCCCTATACTAAGATCCACTCCCAATCTCATCCATGCTGGATCATGGACATGCACCCAGTGTCTACTGAGAGGCCCTGGGAAAGAAACTGAGGGCTTTCTCATGTGGATTCAACTGCATTACTGCTGTGCCACCACCCACCCCTAATTGTTGTCATTTTAACATTGCATGTTAGTCCTTTTAGAGATGGAACCATAATTTATTTAAACAAAATTCTATTGTTGGACAATTCAATTGATTCTAGAATTTTTCTAGTACAAAATACATTGTTCTGAACATTTCTTCAAATAGTTATGTCTATACATCCATTTTTATTTCCTCAGAATAAATTTCTAAGGAGAATTGAGAACTTCTGACATGTGTTGCCACATTGCTATCCTAAAAAGTTCATGAATTTCCACACGTTAACTAACTGAGCATTTAGTTTATGTTCCAGATTGTGATATAAAACGGAGACATAAAGCAGTGAATAGAAAAACATAAACCAGTTCTTAGAGACATTCATTAAATATGTAAATTTAGTAGCATTGAAAGTTGTACAAGAAGAAGCCCATCAAGTACACATCAGTACCATCCAAACACAAGGTACTATATTCTTTGATGATCTTCCTCTCACTTAGGATTCAGACTAATGATGTCCCTTATTCATTGACTTAAATCAGCAATTTGGTAATGAAATAGTTCATAGGCTACAGAGCTGGAGCCATCTTCTCTCAACAATGTGCCTCTGCCCTGATAGAATTAGCTTGCCCACCTATGGATGGCCTTTGATCATCCTTCTCCTTGGGGACATAATTAATTACATAATATTTTCTTCTTTAAAATTATTTTTTATTAGGTCATTAGAAAAATCATGGAGTATTTTTCTATGTTTTTCTAGGCAAAAATGTGTCATTACTTTTCTGACAACCCAATATTTTTTCCATGAGTGAGAGAGAGAGAAAGAGGAAGCGTCTCCAACAGTGCCGTGATCCACCCTTAGCTTCAGCCATCCCTGGACTATGGATACATGAATACAAGGCATGCACAGGGAGGCCTCTGAATATGAACCTTAAGACTTTCCATGTGGGTCAGTCTCATAGAACATCATGTTTTACGATTGTGGACCCAGAATATGTTTCTTTTTCTAGATTGTAAGCAACATACACCAAGCTTCTGGATTCCGTAAATGCTCAGTACATTGTGACTACTTGGTTGAGTGACCGAATGATATCACTTTATGGTTTCAGTGCTGCATGACAGCATTAGTAAGAACTATTGGTTTACATTATAGAACTCAAACTTACTTACAGGGGTTGTTTTTGAAAGACAATTATTAAGCTTTCCCATTTAAATTTTTATCTCAAGTCCTTGTTCTCCTTAAAGCCTTCTTACATTGTGTCAGCATAAGAGGAAGATGACTGTCTCTACTTCAGCCATATAACAATCTTGACAAGTTTGAGGAAGAGGACTTAGGGTTTTATGTAAGGGAAGCCTCAAGTGAAAGGCAGGTGGAGAAATACTTTCTGCTGCAGATTGATGGGCAAATAGAGGCAAGAGATTGAATTGGAGGGGCACACCATCATATGAGGATTCTTCAAAAAGTTTATGGAAGATGCATATTATGAAAAAAATTATATGTGAATTTTAACATCTTTTTTGCATCAAAATAAACTCATATTTTAATTGAATTTTAACATTTTTTTTTGCATCAAAATAAACTCATATTTTAATTCTATTTTTCCATGAACTTTCTGAGGTCTCTTTGTACATGACCCAAGAGGGGCAAGTGTGTTGGTCAAGTTGAGGGAAGTGTTAAGGATGATGTTTTTCTGTCTGGTACCCCAGGAGGCTACAGGGGTTGGAGAGGGACTCTTGGTTAGTTGAGTTACACATTCTAGGGGCTGCAACTCTAAATGCTGTCACCATAAAGCATGATCAGGTAGATCAAGGATATCATAGCAGATGCTAGAGGAGCTATGAAATTCCAAGAACCTCTATGGTCTAGAGCCAGCAGGCCATGAACTCTCTTTCTTCTATTTCCCCAATATCTATTAGGAGAGAAGTTTGTGGATGTAAGAGAGATTGAGTGATAATCCTAGATTAGAGATAAGTACACTTTCTCCCTACTAAGACCCCACAATATTTGCATTTTCC